CTATCTCCAGGTAGCACTATCTCCAATTGAATAAACCAGAAATTTGTGGCCAGACTAACGGCAGCCAGACTCGGGTTGGCCGGGGTGTGGGCTAGAGTGGCGGCAGGAACAGCCTCTGAAGGCACTTGACTCAAACCTCCACCCAACAGGGGTACTCATGCTGAGTGGAGACAGGCTAGTCCAAAAAGATCCCCTCTCTGGAGGTAGGAGTGCCGAGTGTACTCAGATGGGTAAGTCATGGTACATTTATCCATGGTGCCTACAGCAGCCCAAGTTTGGAAGCATTGGGGACCACAGAGACCTCACATCCCCTGGCTCTCTTCAAACACGCCCTATTAGCAAAGGTAATTAGGGCAAGTCTTTCCCGACAAGAATAATGACTCAGACTGGTACAAATGTCTTCCTCAAAAGGTGACACTGTTACTTTCTCCAAAGCACCAAAGCATGCAGTGATGCCAGAAAAAAAGAAAAGAAATATCATGCAAGCCACATATGTCATTTTACTTTTTCATATTGGCCATGCCGCGCAGCATGCAGGATCTTAGGTCCCCGACCAGGGATCTAACCCTCGCCCCCTGCAGTGGAAGCGCGGAGTCAACCACTGGACCGCCAGGGAAGTCTACCATGTATATCATTTTATATGTCCTCATAATCACATTTAAAAAAGTAAAAACAGATTAAATTAATTTTAATAATATATTTTACTTAACCCCATATGTCCAAAATATTGTCATTTCAACATGCAATCAATAAGAAATTATTCATGAGATATTTTACATTCTTTTTTAATATTGTCTTAAATCTGGTGTATTTTACATGTACAACACATCCCAATTCAGATGCTAAATTTTCATCAGAAACACTTAATCTGTATTTAGACTGTACAAAATTTGTTGAGAAAAGATTCATATCCCTACATTGTTTCAAACATAAAGGTTTTCAATAACTGAATACAGTATTAGTTTCTGAATTCAAGTTTAATTTAAATGACATAAAATTATAGTTCAGTCACATGACATTTCAAGTGCTCCACAGCCACACATGGCTGGTGGCTACTGTATTGGACAGCACAGGTCCAGAGGGCTAGAAATATGCCTTCTAATTGCCTCTAAACCTCGAATTGTTTAATGCAGTACTAGACACAGTGTAGGTTCTCGGTAAATCATGGCATCAGAAGAGTTTGGAACTTCAAAAATCCTTAAGGTTCAGTAGATTAATTCTCTTATATTAGGAGGAAAACCTACAATGGGCGAAGTTAAGGGACTTGCAGAAGATCACACAACTGAACTACTGGTGCATATCTGGACAAGAATTTAGGTCTCCTGATTTTTAATCCTGAGGTCTTTCCACCTCATTACATCAGACATACTTCAGGAAAAAAGAAAAAGATTTTTAAATTTATTTGAATAGTCACTTGAATGATACAGGCAAAGAAAAACATACTTATATCCTAGTTGTATTTGCATAACCTGATAAAGACAGTGCATTCTAGAATATTTAAGCCTCCTTCCACTGTGGTCTGCGGTCCAGGTAGTCTCATCTGTCAGTCCCTCTTACCTCCACCCGTCACTGCTTCCTCTCCTTGGAGCTGCCTCACTGCACATCCCCCCCTCCCCCGCCCACAGAGCATCCGGCCACATTTTTCTGTCTGCAGCTGTCCTCTCCCAGCTGTCTACCACAATTTGTTTAAGGTTGTGCTTCAGAGAATTCTTTATATTTGCAAATCAAAGTATTCAGTAGAAACTTCAGCAAAGTTGGAAAAGAGCTACTATTCTCCAGCTACAGACACACCAAGCTCTGAGGTCCTGCTTCCTGAGAGGTGTGTGTGTGTGTGTGTGTGTGTGTGTGTGTGTGTGTGTGTGTGAGAGAGAGAGAGAGAGAGAGAGAGAGAGAGAGAGAGAAAGGATGGATGTGTGGTTAAGTGTGTGACATCAGACAGACCTGCACTCCAGTCCCAGTTCCACCCATTCCTAGTTGTGTGACTTTGGGCAATCCTCAGTTTCCTCCTTTGTAGAATGAGGATAATAGTAATAGCTTCCTCTGTGAGATTTCAGTGTGATAGTGCATACGGAGCCCAGTGCCTGACAAGAGTAAGTCCTCCGTTCATACAAGCTGATGTTATTTTCCAGTGGTCTGTGGGCTCCCTGAGGAGGACTATGTGTAGCTCTCGGGCTCAATACCACACCTCGTGACTAGCAAAATCCCTGAGACATAGTAGGTCCTAAATGAATATTTGTCAAATGAATTTATAATATGCTTATGATTTCCCTCAAATCTTATAATGGATGCTAAGAGACATAATTGGGGGGGAAATGGTGGTAAGGAAAGGGGAGAGGGAGGTGGCTGCTTCCCCCTTCAGAATCTACCTGGCGGTGGCACCCAGGCTCATAATGAAACTGTAAGGTCAACAAATAGTGATGTCCAGGGCTATGTATGATAAAAGAATTAGAGTCATAGTGTTTAAAGGGGAGTAGATATGGAGTGGAGCAAATAAATAAGGAAAGGTGTAAAATTGTCATGTATTTGATTTGAGTAGATAAATGTCTACTAGTTCTCCCCATCAAATCTCCTCCCTTTTCACCTCTAAGACACTTCCTTTACCAACTGCAAATTCCATGAATCATGACCTGGTGTCACATTCCCCAGAGCACATGGCAGGTAAGAAGTAATAAAGCTTCCAGGAAACCTTCACTAAGTGAGTCTTCTTACAACAAGCAGTCACAGGTATAGATAAGGCAGAGCTAACTTTTAACTCCCTTCTTGGGTGACCTTTGCCTCAAGTGGCTTAGGTTGACAGCATGAGTATTGAGAAGGCCAATCTACTCCACTAGTTGAGTCCTTTCATGGCATGAAAGTGGTGGTAATGTAGGAAATGATAATGATGATCACTGCGTATACAACAAGTATATAAAAAATGCAGGAGGAAGGGGCTAGAATGATCCATGTGGCAATAGATTTGAGTTAGAGACATCAAGAATATTTAAAGCATCCTTGCGTCTTTTCAGTAGTTAGCCTTCCCTTTAGATTTATAGAGTAGCACGTTATAACTTCATTTAAAGAAGAAAGAGATATAAGTGTAGAGCTGTTCAGAAACTCTTTAAAGGGCATAGTTTATGAGAGAGTGGGCCTGAAATTTACTAGCTGTGAGATTTTGAGCAGGTTATAATATCTCTATGCCTCTGTTTTTTCATCTGTAAAATATAAATAATAATATACTTACCCCTTAGGGTACATAGTAACAATAGGCCATAAATACTGATCCTGGCCCTGTTCTAAATTTGCTGGTTGTGTTAACATTTAATCCTCACACTCCTGTGAGTAAAGTGCCCACTTTGAAGATAAGAAAATGAAGAGACAGGGAAGTTATATACTTTCCCACTGTAACCTGAGTTACTAGTAGAGTACTAACAAGAGTTAAGCTTACTCTCTATAAGGCTTTTTACTATGGATATTTAAAAACTGTAGCTGTGAACAATAGAGAACAGGCTCTTGGATGTTTAATTCTTCTTAGTCGCTGGAGTTCCTGCTCTTTTCATCCTTTTGTTTCTCTCATACCTACCATTACAAAATTTCTCCACTGTTAAAATAACTTTACAAATAGATAACAAACGCAAGAGGAAGTTGGGGGGTAGAATGAACCATGTGGCAATGGATTAGAGATGTTGGTATGAACTAATGTTTAGTTTAATAAATGCAGATGTTTACATATAGATTTCTTTATAGATATCTGTGCGTGTATGGGTTAATATACATACACATCTCCTTGCTCTGTCAGCTGAGAGCACGGAATAGCAATGACACCCCAATAAGCACATCTATCACTCAGGTCTTGTTTTTTTGTTTTTTTTTTTTTTTGCGGTACGCGGGCCTCTCACTGTTGTGGCCTCTCCCGTTGCGGAGCACAGGCTCCGGACGCGCAGGCTCAGCGGCCATGGCTCACGGGCCCAGCCGCTCCGTGGCATGTGGGATCTTCCCAGACCGGGGCACGAACCCGTGTCCCCTGCATCGGCAGGCAGACTCTCAACCACTGTGCCACCAGGGAAGCCCCCAAGTGTCATTCTTATTACAAGTGTCATTCTCATTACATCATATTATGGGTACCTATTATCAAAATGACTTATGACTAATGTTAACTTTGATCACCTGATTGACGTACTATATGTCAGGGTCTTCACCGTAAAGTTACTCTTTTTCTCCTCCATTTCCATATTGTGCTCTTTGGAGGAAAGTCACTATGCACAGCCCGCACTTAGGAAGTGGGGAGTTAGGCTCCACCAACTTGAGGGTGGAGTGGCTACATAAATTATTCATATTATTCTTCTGCATGGGAGAATTGTCTATTCTTTCCCATTTATTTATTCAATCATTTACATTTATCTGTACGTACTCATGGATATTTATTTTATACTTTGGGATATAAGCCAATAGTACTTTATTTATTGTGTAGCTCAAATTGTCCCAGCTTTGGCCATTGGGGTCTGGTACAGTTGGCTCCTGAGTCCCTTTGACATACCCCCATCATCGTGTGGCCATTTTGTTTGTTTGTTTGCACTTCCTTCTTTCTGACACTACACAATGTTCCAGGCTCATCTGTCTGTTTCCTGCCCCAGTCCTAGAAGCATCAATTTCTCCAAGGAGCTTTGTTTCCTTTTATTGGAGGAAGATATTAAAAACCAAGACCGGGCTTCCCTGGTGGCACAGTGGTTGAGAGTCCGCCTGCCGATGCAGGGGACACGGGTTCGTGCCCCGGTCCGGGAAGATCCCACATGCCGCGGAGCGGCTGGGCCCGTGAGCCATGGCCGCTGAGCCTGCGCGTCCGGAGCCTGTGCTCCGCAACGGGAGAGGCCACAACAGTGAGAGGCCCGCGTACCGCAAAAAAAAAAAAAAAAATGACACTTGGCCTCTGTGGTCTTCCTCCCCCAAATCCCATAACCCCATTTCAACCATGAGAAAAACATCAGACAAATCCCAGTTGAGAGACATCCTACAAAATACCTGACCTGTACTTCTCAAAACTGTCAAGGTCGTCAAAAACGAGGGAAGTCTGAGAAACTGTCACAACCAAGTGGAGCATACGGTGGCATGATGACTAAACATAATGTGGTGTCCTAGATGGGACCCTGGAACAGAAAAATGACATTAAACAAAAGCTAAGGAAATCTGAATAAATTATGAACTTTAGTTAACAATAATGAATTAATATAAATCACTATTTATGACAAATGTACCCTACTAGTGTAAGACACTAATAGGGGAAACTGGTTGTGGGGTACTCTATGGATTACCATTGCAATGATTCTGTAAATCTAAAACTGTTGAAAAATAACAAGGTTGTTTAAAACAAGTAAATGAGTCTATCATTGCTTACAATATCCAAAATTAGGGAACTATAGAATCAGATATTAGAGTTGGTAATAAGCTTTGAGATCAAAGGAGAGGACAAAACTCCAAAAAATAACCAAAATACATTCCCACTATTATTTTTGCAGTCTATTCAAAATATCATCATAATAGTAATTTGATATAGGCTGAATCCTGTCACCCTCTGAGCAAAATGTCCAAGTCTTGGGTAAAAATATATGTGACAGGATGTAGAAGAAGATCCAGAGAATTGTGTGTTTCAGTATAATATATATCATCTAATTACAACCACAAAGTAAATCTTTTGTCTAGCAATTCTCAAGCTGTGGTAGGGAGACCCCAACACCTTTTTAGGGATTCTCCAAAGTTGAAACTATTTTCATAATAACACTAAGATGATATTTACCCTTTTCACTCTTATTCTCTCACAAGTGTATGATTCAGTTTTCCAGATATGACAGAATGTGTGATATTACAGAAGATTAATGTAGAAGCAGATATGAGAATCCAACTGCTTTCTATTAAGCCAGAAATTAAACAGATTGCAAACATGTAAAACAATACTGCCCTTATTATTTTCTTTTGTTTTGGATAGTATAGCTATTTTCATAAAACATGTCATTTATGTTAACATGTAACTGTTGTTATTATTAAGGTGTAATTATTATTTAAAATAAACTAATAAATATTTTTAAAATTCCTCTTTTAATTTCTAATATGGTAAATATTGATAGATACAACCTACACAAGCAAAAATTCTTTGAGATCCTTAGTAATTTTTGAGTGTAGAAAGTTTTGAGAACTGGAAAGATTGAGAACTACTATACTAATCATAGTGACCAGTTTGCTCTTTCAGCTTTGAGACAATTGTCATTCTATGGTCACCTTGTATCCTAACCCCTCCAGTGTTTTGAGAATTCCTCACCTTTGGAGTCTATGGGAATGAATATGCCAAATACTCATGTTCCCAGCCTTATGCCTTGCAGCTAGGGCAGGAGCAGTTACCTGAGGTCCTATCAACCACCTGAACGCACTTGAGCCTTGGAACATGGAGAAAGTGAGACTGGGGCCAGGAACAGGTTTATCACAGAAGCAGAAGTGGCAAGGAGATCAGGTCCTATAAGCTGTAGTTCTAACGGCACCTTGTTTGTCCACTGTTAGTTGTGTCGACAGCACAGATTGCAGTGTACAATCCTGTATTTGGGCAGCAGTGGTATCTTCACCTGAACAATCCACATATGTGAATCTGGATATTATTCACGGTTATCTTGTCCTGACCCTGGATTTCCAGCCTGGATCTCTGTTCTTTGAGCTGCACAGTATCCTTTAAATAACGTTCCTTTTCAGCTTTAATCATCCAGAGATGCTTAATTGCTTGCAATTAATAACTCTGACTATCCTACCAAAAATTGATTTCTTAGTTAACTTCTGTAGTTATATATCTTGACCTCTTTTAACATCAGTCTTTCTGAAATCGCACAAATCATCCAAGGTTAATTAAAGGAAAGAAAAAGCAAACTAAACTTACCCTTTGCTTTATCTACTATAGAAAACAAGCAACTACATAAATAAATTTAAATGTTTAACATTTTGAAAGATGAAAAAAATGTTGGCCTTCTCTAGCTCTAAACTTTTACCGACATTTTGGAATTGTGATCCAACTTTCAACCGGCAGAGTGTAAGATTTTCATGTGTTACTTCCCAGTTATGCAATTTCTATAAAGCAGTCAAGAGGATCTGAAGAGAATGACTTATGATGCCATGCCATGTGCTTAGCTCATTATAAGTAATTTCAAGGCCCGCCAGCCATTCTGAGCCAATCAAAACAGAAATGCTCTAACACATTTGAGAGTATCTTGTTTTATAGAGTGCTTAAAACGGGCAAAAAAAGCACACTAGATTTCAAATGTACCAAATTATCCAGAAAGGATTTTGAAACTGGTTCCTATTAGGTTACTTTTCATTATTATTTAATGTGATATATAAAATATAATGCTTTTCTGTTTGAGCTCCTAGGGCCTGGAATAGTTCTGCCTTTTATAATTTTGCAAGCAAATCTTAAAGTATTTTTATGCTGCTCACTTTCTTGCTAGATTTCAAAAGTGAAAAGTATGAGGCCAAGTTAGGCCCTACAGATCTTCCCAGTTTTATGCTAACTCAGATTATGAGGGGCTTAAATTAATTTTGACTAGAAAAAGCATCTTCTTCTACAATTGAAATACTACCTCAGATTAAGGATCCTTTGAAGTAGTGTCTCAAAATAATTTAGGGAAAACATACGAGGGAAGTAACCCATTGCTTTTTCCCTCTTATGCGTTTGATTTTCCAGGTGTGAGTGTAGGGGTTCCTGGATCTGGATATCTCCACATTTAACTTCTCAGAGGAAAGGTCTGTTTACAGGAGAAGTCAACAGAATAGCATACACCCACTCTGAGCAAATCACCCTCTGAGCAAAATGTCCAAGTCTTGGGTAAAAATATATGTGACACCCCACTCTGAGAACAGGTTGAGGAACTGAAAAACAGGCACACATTATAACCAATAATAACGTATTCTTGCAAGCTTAATTTAGGGGTGCACCTTTTAAAATATGAGGTTTTTGAGCACTTTGCAGATGATTATCTTGGTGTATTTGAGAGAAGCTGCATAGACATGAACTCATTTGTCTTCATTTTTTCCTGTCTCTCACCCAGGGCATCTTTTTCTCCACTTGCTAAGAACAGGAAATAGCAGAAAATAAAGATTTGATCAGTTCCCATTACCTCAATGAGACTTGCTCAGTTTAACTTAGGCCAACAGCACCTTTATATTTGCCCCAATAAATTACACAATGTATCAGAATAGACTAGTTTTGTATAGTTTTTAACTCTCTTTTAATCTTCCAAGCCTTGAGTTCTTCTCACTATTAAAAGCCTGTCTCGAGAAGGTTGCTGTTTCAAAGTAAAAGTAGGCGGTACCTTTGAGACAATTTCCATTACTCAGTGACCTAGAAAAATCCCCTTCTAGCAGCTCCGTCTTGAGCAGGTGTAAGAAGCTTCTTGGCCAGCCATGCATGTGAATGTGACACAGGATAGGCTAATATTAACAGCACCTGAAATCCGGACAGCATTTTAGAGTGAATATAGAGCTTTCACATGCAACATTCTGTCTGAGCCTCAACAGTCCTGCGTTTACTGTAAGCAAGGCTAGAACTGTCCCATGTTACAAATGAGGAACTAGACTCCGAGAGTGACTTTCCCAACTGAGGTGAAGGCTCAGTCTAGAACTGCAGACTGCAGACCATCTGGGCCACCGCTAAGAGAGAGGATTATCCAGAGAGCGAAATCATCTGACCGTTTTTCACTCCTCTCCCCTCCCCACCCTTTTCTGAAACATTATAGGAAGCCCTACGATTGAGCAACCATGGATATTGGGGAGGAAAGGAGTACCCAAAGGCCGGATGGCAAGGCAGGCTGAGCCCCTTGGGTAGCTTACCTGCGGCTACGTACAGCACCAGGAGCCCTGTTATCACCCCAAAACTTAGCATTCACTTCTCGCCAACCGGCCAGACCATGCTCATTCCCTGGATTGCTTGAGGCCATTTTGGGTGAGAATTAGGAAAGTCAGGAATGATTTACCACCTGAAGTAATAAGATTTAGCACAGAACTGAGAATTCCAAACCAATAGCCAAGGTTTGACAAAGAAATTTAAGAGAAAGGAATGTACCTGCTTTTAGAAGTTGACATTTCTGTAGTGAGACTACATAAATACAAAGGATTTAAGTTTTGTAGCGAAAGGACAGGAATGTGCTAAATAAAGCATGGCAATACGTTTTTCGTGCAAGATCCTCTGCATATGTCATTTCATTGAACTCTTAAAACCTGCCTTGAAGTCGCCATTATTCTTCTTGTTTCTCATATGAGGAAACTCAGGCTCAGAGAAGCTGAGTGACCTGCTTGAAATCATACAGCTAGAAGCGGAGACAAAATTTGAACTCAGACGACAGATCCCATGTCTTTCTCAGTATACTGCACTACATCCTAAGTAGTAGGTTACTTGTTCTTATTTTTTTATTTCTCTTTGTGTCCCATCTCCGTAACTCATTATACAAATGAGTTTTTTTAATATTTTAATTTCATTTTTCCTTCTTTCTTTATTGGCTGGAATAACTTTTATAAAGAGACATTTACAATCATCCATTCTTTGGTTGCCTGGAGGTACAACAGAGTTCATTAGGAAAAGTCAGAATAAATAATTCTATTGTATAACAGCTTACAAAATAATGAGTTTGTATTACTACAGCGAAAAGCTACTTACCTCGCGGTCCAACTTCTAAGGAACAGGAAGTATGCAAAAAACTCTTCTGAGAAGCAGAATAGACGTTACAACAAGCGTTCCTATGTGAGAAGGCTGTCTTTGGTGGTGATTATGTCTTTTACGTATACTCTGTAATTATCTGGGATGTTATAAGACTTCAATGATAGGATACTGCAGGAGTTTTCCCTCTGATCTTTCCGTGAGTGGCTGCTCTTCCACCTCGACTTCTCACCTGTCCATCGCTGCGCCCGGTTCTTTTAGCACTTTTTATCATAATTAATAATTATGGATTTATTTCTTACTACCTGTCTTCCCCATTAGATTGTAAACTCTCCACAGACAGGAATCATGTCTGCTGTATTCAGCAGGGTTTCTCCAGCACCTATAGTGATGCCTGACACATAGTAGCAATTCAATAAATGTTGATTGGATGAATGGATGGATGGATGATGGATGGATGGATGGACAAAGTGAATCATTCCCAGAAGAGTTTCCAAAGATCGGAGGAATAGGTGAGTTGGCAATCTGATCCAGGGAAGGCTGGATAACTTTGGGGGCTAGGGTGGGTCAGTCATCCTTTCCCTACAAATAGGCCTGGAAGCTGGTGTCTTCCCAAGGACAATACACAGGAACTGTGAGGCCAGTCCACCAGGAGAGAGGGGAAAGGGAAATCGATATACTAAGCATTACCAAATGCAAAGCAATGTGCTAGAAACACATTATCTCATTTAACATAAAAGCACTGTATGAAAAAAGAATTATTTCTATTTTACAAAAGAAAAAGGTGAGACTCAGACTGGTGAGGTTGCCCAAGGTCATGCAACAAGTAAGTGGCAGAGACAGAATATGGAGCTAGATTGGCATATGTCAAAGATGATACTTTTTATTTTAAGCAAATTCACTTTCTTTAAAACGTTTCTTAGAGATACAGATGTAGAGAACAAATGTATGGACACCAAGGGGGGAAACTGGCGGGGGAGGGGTGGTGGTGTGATGAATTGGGAGATTGGGATTGACATGTATACACTAATATGTATAAAATAGATAACTAATAAGAACCTGCTGTATAAAAAATAAATAACATTCAAAAATTCAAAAAAAAGTTTCTTTTTTTATTGGCCTATAACTTACATACAAGAATTGATCCTATTTTAAGTGTACAGCTTGATAAAATCTAAATATGTATACATCCTGAAACCACCATCCAGATAAAGAAACAGGACATTACTAGCCCACTAGAGGTTCTTTGCACTTTGTCTATGTCAATATTCCCAATGCTACCACTATTTTTTTTTTTGCCAAAATATATACATATATATATATATAAAACGTTTTTATTGGAGTATAATTGTTTTACAATGGTGTGTTAGTTTCTGCTTTATAACAAAGTGAATCAGTTATACATATACATACATCCCCATATCTCTTCCCTCTTGCGTCTCCCTCCCTCCCTCCCTATCCCATCCTTCTAGCTGGTCACAAAGCACC